AGGTTGATTCACTGTAGGTCTCTCCATTACAGAAGTCAGTTTGGGGGTTGTCCTTGAAGGCTATGGATCCCAGGGAAGAACCTGCAGGTTCTCCGCAGGAGAATCAGGGGTCAGAGAGGACCCCTGGGGTAGCTGGGTCTGCTCCCCTACAGCCCGAGGGCCTTTGCTCAACCCCTGTCCACCTGTTGGGGCAGCTCCAGGCCTAGCTGGGAATGTAAGGCGTGGACATTGCCTCCATGGGAGGCTGGCAGGGTACCCATTGTTAGAGAAGGACAGGTTTAGGACTGGCCACGGAGGACAGGGCCCTGCACCATCTCCACAGGGTACTGCTTTGTCACTAAGAGACCTCAGACAAGGGCTTAGGGGTAGACTCTTGGGGACGGCACATCTGGAGGCCAGTGTGCCTGGGGATGGACACACCTGGTAGCCACAGCTCCCACTGTGGGACCATCTGGGATAAGTAATGGCTTCTGAGATAATTGTTTTCTGGAAAATGGAAGTATGAGGGTGCCTCCCTAGTGGAGGTACAGGAAGAGTGGCTTTGTGTACACCAGCGCCTGGTACCTAGATTCCTCTGTTAAGGCTAGGGGCCTCGATCTTGGTGAAGCTCCACCTTGCCCCTCCTTCAATGAAGCTGGCGGGCACAGAGGCTTAGAAAAACACACAGATTTATTGCATATCAATCTCATGTATAAATTCATTGTAGCATCAGAAAGATTACATTTGGTATACAGTCCTATTCTACAGCATTGACCTCAAAATCAGCTTCTCCTAGGCTTTATTTTAAAGAGATTTCTCTACACAAGTACATTTGCTTTATCACAAGCATCAAAATGAAATTTGCAAAATTGCCTTTGATTATTTTCTACAGGTCATGTCTTATTTCCTTATTCTCCCACAGCGATTTCCGTGTTCATTAGGAACAGTGCCCATTTGTGTGGGCGGTTCAGGACTCCTGGTCTTGACCTAGATCCTAGTCACATATTCAGTAAGTGCAACTACGGAATTTTCCTTGTAATAAAAATTTCACAAACAGACACGAGAATGACCGCTAAACACGAGTCATGCACAGCTCACTTATAAACACAACAGAAGCAATTTACAAGGAAGGGGAGCGGGGTCAAGCACCAGCCTCCTTCTCAATGGTTTGTTTTTAAACATTATATGAAAACCCCAGACATTTACATTTGATTTATTTTCAACACTATACAGTTCTAAAAGAAAAAAAAAAAAAACAGAAACAAAACTGAACCAAATTTGAATGTAACAACAGCAACTGCTTGCACAGGTTTGTGATTCTCCAAAGTATAGGTGTATATGAACTTTCTGTTACAAAGTATCCATATGTGTGTGTGTGTGTGTGTGTGTATATAAATACATATATATATACACACACACACATATATATATATATATATGGACACCAGGGCTCTGCTCCCCTTATGCTGAAGAGAGCAAGACAATGTGAGAGGTGTGGAAGGAAACCCTAGGGTCACCTCTGTTCACAAGTGAATTGCACGTTTGGAAACTCAAGCTGCCTTTATTTACTGTATCTTTTTTCTAAAAGTGGTAATACAAATCTGTGACAGAAAAGAATAGAACAAACAAACAAAAAATGGAATGAAAGGAGGAAGGAACTCTTCTCAGAATAACGCAAGAATGTCTTTGTCACAGTATCACTCAATGCTACAGAGACAGTTTCATGGCTTTTGGTACCCGGCTGACCTCCACTGACCAGGAGCAGCTGTGTCCCACAGCATCCACACTGAGAAGGAGCACTTCTGTCCTGGCTCCCCATCCTCCACCCCGGCGGCAGTGCAGGGCCCTCCTCTCCCCTCCCCTGGACAGCACAGTGAATACAGCTCAGTAGGTTTCAGTCACGTGGGCAGGGGGACTGGGGATGGGACCACGATCCAGTGCTTTGAGGTTTCGCGTCTAGAACACGTGATATGTATTTAGGCAAGTGCTTTGCAAACACTTTGGGGAAACAGATGAGGCAGAAAAAGCCATGGGCCCTTAGAGTCTCCAGGGCCTGATTCTGGGGAGGCGGAAAGGTTTGGTCACCAAGGATCTGAGCAGACCAGCTGCACTCTTGGCCTTGTGAAGGTGGCCCCTCGGGCTGGGCAGTCTCTCAGGCCACACCACACCCACCCTGTGCACTGCTACACACTCCAGCAAAACCTTCTGGGTCTGCCTGGCCACAGAATGGGCAGCCTTGTGAGTCCTGATGGTCCTAGGAATGACAGCAGCCACAGGGCAAGAGTGTGGACTTGCCAGAGGTCAAGGTCTGGGGTTCAGTGTAGGCCTCTTTCTGAATGTCCACTGTGGCTGAGCACCAGCAATTCAAAGGCATTGTGATCAGGGCAGTAGTCCTGGCTGGACAGAGGGCCCTGGCCCGGTAGGACCTTCTGCCTCGCAGCCTCAACTCTGGCTACCTGCGCCAGTTTCCTGTCTGATCTCTGCCCATGCTACATGCGAGGCAACATAGTCCTGTTGCAGCTTGGTGCTCTAGATGCCAGGATCTCAATTCTCACACCTAGCCTGGCTCCCTAACCCCCCGAGGGTCTTTTGACACCAATGATGCTGGGCCCAAGTGAGCTGGACATAGCTGAGTTGGTGCTGCTGGTAGTGTAGAGGAGCTGGAAGGGAAGAGTTCGCTGCACTGGGGCGACGCCAAGAGTTGAGGCAATGTGTCAGGGTTGTGCCAGTGCAGAAAATAAGTGCTGTTTTTGCCAAGGGGTCCAAGGACACAGCCTCCAAGATGCCAAGCGCTGGGGCCAGAGGGGCTGAGCGCTCAAAGGGAAGCTGGGCTTGCCATCATCACTTTTGGGGAGAGCAAAGCATGTGACTTAAAATATGCAGTCAAGGCTCTTGGGAAAGGGAGAAGAAGAGAATGATAAAGAAGAAAGAATTCTTGGGAACACCATCCCCAAATGACAGAATGGGACAGGGAGCCACAAAGAGCGACAAGAAGGGAGTCCCTATCTGGTCTGCTATTGCCAGAAAGACACCGAGGTCTCCATGCAGTCAACTTCCCACTTTGGAGAGCGAGTCATCGCAAAAAAAAGCACACACCTTACTCTTTCATAGAAGAAAGCATATAATTTGGGTTTACAGAAATTTGTATCTGAGTTGAAGTTTTACAGGAATTCCCACAGGGATTTGGGGGAAGTTGGGTCCTATGCTGGGACCTGGCTTGTCTGGCTGAGGGGATGGTGTGAATGTGTGGGGAGGTGGGAATGGTTGGGTTTGCAAATCCTTATGAGGTGGCCACCGCCAGCAATTCCACACAGCACTTCCTTTGCTCCCCCAGGGGCATCTTAAACAGTCTGTGCACATGTGCACCTGGCCTTGGCACACACAGGACAGTTCTCTGTCTTGCCACGTCACTTGGATTTAACAAAGGGTGAATCCTTTTCACTGTGATCTGTGGGTCTGTGGTGACTGCAAGGATCTCCCTGGCACGGTCTCCAGTGCAAGCCTGGGCCACCTGGCACGACAGAGGCGATCGTCTTTGGCCTGGATCGGCTGGAGTGGAGTGGCCAGGTGTGTGTAGAACATGCCCTCTTGGACTCTTCTTGTTGCTCCTGGGGAAGAACGCTGAGGAACTGTCCATGGTGTGACACCAACCCACACATGTGGTTTGTACCTGAATGTTCGTGTTTGTGTTCTTTTTTTAAGGGCAACTCGGGCGATTTTTTTCTCTTCTTGTTGAGACACTCATTACTTTCTCTTCCAAACAATAAAAGAAATAAATAGAACACTTGTCTTAAATGTAAATGAAACTCAGATTTAACAAAAACATATGATTGTCTGGTAAGTGGGCAGAGAGACAGCAGGATTCGTTGAGGGGGGGACGCAGGGGTATTTGGCACATTAAAAACCGCCCCACTCCCTGGTTATCGGTCACACAACACACAACCTTATCACACGGTTTTGGTCCTTCACTAGACACTTATATTAACATTATTCCTTCACAATAAGATGTCTAATGCCAAAAATACTGTTAAGGAAGAAATAAAATAAGAAAAGAAATGAATTAGAAAAAAATTACAAGTTATATACAGATTAAGGTAAATTCCATCAGGGAAAAATTATTATTTGAAATTGGCCCCTATGGGAATAATTTAAAGCCCATCCAAATGGAGAAGCAGACACATCCCCAGGGAGCCGAGGTCCGGTCCCTGGGGGGCTGTGCTGTCTCTGCTCTTTGTGGCAGGTCACCTGGATCCACTTCTGTTCCTGACCTTGTCTTGCCAGGAACCTGCACAAAGAGCTGAAGTGGTGGCTGCGTGGTTGATCCGGAGTCTTAGGCACAGGTAGCGCTTGGCGTCCTGGAGCGTGGCCCACACCTGGTGGCCACAGGGAGGACACCGAGTTGCCAGGGGTTGGGGAAGGTGGGAGACTGGAGGCCCAGGATGTAGCCGGGAAGCCCTGCCTTTAGAAGAACAGGGCCAAGGCCAATGGGACGGTGAGGCACTGACCAAGAGAAGGACCATCATGTGCCGGCCCCATCTCTGTATGGAGGCTCCTGACGTCCCCCATACAATTGGGGGGGCAGGTCGGGCCTGTGGAATCTTCTACAGGCCACATGGTGGGCAGGCAATATCCCAGTCCAGGCCTTGAGCAATCCTGCTTGGTAGAGTCTGCACACTGCTCAAAGGAGTGGCCCTATGCCCCTTATTCTGTTTCAGGGGCACTAGAATCACCTTGGCTTGTACAAATGGGGTCAGAGACAGAAAATCTCCATTATCTACGGTATAAAGGACCCTCCCAAGCAAGTGCTGGTTGCCCAGGCAGGCGTGGGTTTGCAAATGAGCTGAACTTTCAAAGCAATGCAAAATTACTTTTAAAAAACAATTTGCAAGTCATTTTTTTTGATTTTTAAAAAATACTGTCTATTTTTTTTTAAAACCCACATGCTTAAATAGACTCTGTAGTCAATAAGATTACCAAAAGGGTTATTCTTGTAATTTTCATTATAAAAATTGTTTGCGTGATCTCTCTCCTTAGCACACACCGCATCTTTCTCTTCCCCTCCTCCATGCCACACAGGTGCCTGGAAGTGGTACACCAGCTTCAGTCCTGGCTGGAGCTCCGCTCTTTCCCACTGGGTTGATCTGCACGGCAGCTCCGTGAGTGGCACTTGGATGGCTATGGGTGGATGTAGAACAGTGTACTCAAGACAAGTTCTTAGAGATGGTGAAGATTACCTACTGCTTCAGAGACTTCTAGGTTCTGGGTTTTCATTGGAAAGGTTAGCGCTGAACCATGGAGGGTGGGGCAGGACGCTGAGGAATGGCCAAGTGCAAGTGGCAAGGGCTTCTCCCTGGCCTCTTCTCCATCCCCCGCAGCTGGTGCCCTGGCTTTGGACTCGCCCTGGGGCCTCCTGGGCTCTCAGAGGTGATTGATGGGGTTAAAGACTCCAGACTCTGATGTAGCTCCTGTGATGTTCAACCAAGCGTCCAGCGAGCTCTGAGAAGGGGCGTGGAGAGGACCATCCTCGGAAAGGGACAGCATCATTGCATACGCCTGGCAGGGAGAGGACAGCACACACAGGACAAGTGAGTGGTGCCCCAGATGGGCAGGGCTGTGCCTTGCCCAGTGCCCTCTGGCCTACTCCACCTCACCAGAGTCAAATGGAATGTGTCTCCTCCTGGGAGAGGGAGTAGTGCATGGGTGTGAGAACAGGGCGGGGTGGACCATTCCTCCTGCCCAGAGTGACACCAAGACACTGTGGCCCTGCTGAGGGCCTCCCTCTGGAGGGCTCCCTCAGTCTCTTTGGGGTTCTTCCTCACAGTTGTCTCTCCATCCTGTTTTCCCTGCATAGTGATCAGCAAAACCTGACAGGTACGTGCTCTGGAGGGTCCTGGGAGTCAGTGGGAGTCATTGCTAAGACCCATGCCAACAAGAGTCCCTCTCTGCCTAGTGGGCAGTGGACGCAGGGGATTCCTGTCTTGATGACTGTGGTGACATCACAGAGCTACTTCCAGGATCAGCATATTGCAGTGTTTGTGAGCTGAAGGAGTCACTGGGGAATATGAGCGTTTGCTGGCTGCAGACAGTCCTGGGGACATCCTTCTGCCTCACACCACAGGGCAGGAGGTGAGAACTGGGAGCTACATGGAGCATCCTATGTGTGGGATACAGGGAGGGGTGCTGGGGAAGCCCAATGCTGGTGCGGCACCCCCATCCCCCGAGCAAACACTCTGGACAGAATTAGTAAGAGACGAAGACAGACATGCAGACAGATTTTGCTGAGACTCTTGGGGTGGGGCTGTGCTCTTTGTGAGGCTGCAGAGGGCAGAGTGAGTTCTGAGTCTCTCAGACTGCAGTGGTCCTGCAGCCACTGCCCTGAGGTAGGAACACAAGAAGTTCCAGGCCAAGCCTGGTGCTCTTGCTGACCCTGCCTTGGAAGCAGTGACCATCTTTTGGAGAACCTCCCCTGGGAAAAGCTGGTGGTGCCATTGACTCTGGCTTGGATCATAGAAGGGGAGGCCCGACAGCTCGTTGGGCTGGAAACTGCTCTTGGACATTTCCCACTGGGGGCAGGATGAGAGGAGAGTGATCCACACTCTCAACCTCTCTGCTCCATCCCAGCTTGCAGGAGGGTGGCAGTCATTGGGACATCTCCCTAGCTGAAGGCAGAGACCCTGATCTTTCCCCAGGCATGGGACAACCACAGCAGGAGGTGAGTGTTCGGGTTGTCCCTTGGCAAGAAGGTGCAGTGGCTGCCTGTCCTCCGAGCCAGGTGTATTGGAGGGAGGGTCAGGCTCTGTGGGTACCTACCTGGTTTTTAGCCTGCCTGTACAGGGTCTGTTTTAAAGCCTCAGAATCTAGGGCGGAATTAAGCACATCTTTAACTTCAAATGCTTCCTCAGCTGCTCTGCGGAGGTCCAGCCCCTTCCCAAAGGTCGGCGTAGGCTCCAAAGCTAAAAGACCGCCTCCTCGCTCCTCAACACACCTGCACCAAGGACCGGGGAGAAGGGCCTGGGGTCAGCTATCTGCCCGCAGGCCACCTCACTAGTGCCCAGGCCTGCATGCACACCTTGGGTCTCCACGAGCCACATGCACAAGGAGACAGAAACACGGACACACAGACACCTGGACGGGAAGCCACACAGACGCAGAAAGCGGAGGTCGGAGGGCAGGAGGGGACAAGTGCGGGCACATGTGTCACAGGCAGCAGGGGGTTGCTCTGGTCTTAAGGATAGAGGGTTGAGGGGAAGCCCAATTCCCTGAGACCTCAGGCAGCTTTGGAGGGGCCTTGTCCCCACTTGGGACCAGCAGCTGGGAGGAAGTAGGGCCTCCCCCAGGGGCATCTCAAGAATGCTGCCACTGTCACCTGGTGCTGAAAGTAGGCAGCGAGCACTTGGGACATAGAAAAAATGGCTCTGGCCTGCACAACTTCTAAAATCCAGGGTTCTTGGTCCTGTGTCTACAGCCCCACCAGAGGCTGTATGTACTCCACTGCCTCCAGTGGACGGGGCAGTGCAAGGCTCCACAGCAGGGCCTTTCTGCCCAGTGGGGGGAACACCATCCCTTCTTCACTCTAGACGTCCCAGGGAGAACTCGGTCCCCTGGTTAGCCTCATCCAGCCCTTGTGCAAAAGTGGTGCCTGCTGGGCAGGCTGGAGGAGGTAGCTTCTGAGTGGTTTGAAGAGGAAGGTCACCCACAGGTCCCCTCCCTAGCTGATCCCCCAGCATGCACCACTCTCACCTTCGGGTGTGATCGAAGCCCATGGCCAGGGAGGCAGGTGGTTCCTCGTCCTCTTCATCCTCATAGATACCCTGGGGCTCAGGCGTGGGGGACACAGTGTCAACCTGTGACTTCCCTGCCAGGCTGTCATCATCCTCGTCCTCTAGCTCCTCTTCCTCCTCTTCCTCCACATCCTCTAGCTTCTCACTGGCTGAGCCTGGACACTGAGGGTTGCCATCCAGGTCCTGGACCTCGGGCCTGAAATAACAGGGGAGGAGGCTGGTGGCATTCAAGGGCCTCTCTCATCACCACAGACGCCCAGAAGTTGGTGACATGGCTTTGCTTGGCTCTTCCCTCATTCTGGCCACCTCCCTTGGCCTTCCCAGCCCTTCAAAGAGAGCTGACGTTTGTGGTCACTAATGTACCATCTCTGGGTCCTGGGGTCGCTGGTGTCTTCTGTTGGTATAGGCAGCTAGGTAGGCAGGAGCAGGGGCAAGACGATGCCTAGGCTTTAAGACTCCATTCCCTAAAACCCTAAATGGCCTACACCCTGGACCACTGATTAAGATAATGGCCTATGTCCTCATGGAGCCATCCACTATGCCCCTAGAGGGTATAATGACTAGCTCTAAATCCACAAGGACAAAGGGGATCAAATGCACAGGCACCAGTCCTGACCTTCTCAAAAGCACAGGTGTATGACTTCTCACACCTAGGCAGCCACCACACAGTTACCAAACCATTTGGGGAGAGCCACAAGGGGACAGTCTCAGTTCCTTGCCACCTAGTAACCCCACCCTACTGGGTAAGATAATAAAACTCCATGCCCTAACAACTTTGATGTGGTCAGCCCTATCCAAACTGCCCGCCCCTCCCCTTGAGGTATTTCTACTTTGCTAATAAATCACTCTTTGCTGTCTTCCTACTCTTCGTGGTTCTTTTGCTGCATCTGGGACAATGTCCTAAAGTTGGACATTGTACCCAAGAACCAAGGAACATCTGGAACACCCCATCCACCAGCAGCGGCTCCTCAGCCCAGCCCTGGTCCCTGCAGAATGAGAATGATGGAGGAGGTGGAAGGACCCAACGAGAGGAGGGGGAGTCATTGAAGGAGTGATGGGGCAGGGGAAGGGCCCCTTAGCAGTGGACACCAGACCAATCAGGGCTTTCAGGGAGGAAGCTGTGGAGGGAAAGTGGTCCTGTGCTGGTGTGTGCCCTTGGGGGAGGCTGGGGTGGAGAAGTTTCGGGGTCAGTCCTGCCCAGAGCCCTGTGGCGCCCGTCTGTGTGTGTTCCTGCAGACAGCCATGAGGACTTGAGAGCAGGAATGCTGAGGAATGTCTGGGATCCTGAGTCTGGACGGTGAGGGCTGGGTCCTGTGCCCATTGTAAAGTCTACACCCACCAGGACAATCTGGCTTCAGGGAGTGTTAGACTCTGTCCTGAAGCCCAGACTCCACTTCACAGCCCCAGGGTCCCTGCAACCTGGGCCAGACTTTTCCACTGCTGATTGTACATTATCAACAAGGAAAAGCCAGGTGAGGGGAGTGACTTCTCATTTCCCTCAGAGTCACCATCTTGGTCATTGTCAAGTTCATGGTCACAAGCCACACCACAGGTAAGCTAGAGATCCTGGATAGGCCTTCATGCCAGCAGAGGACACAGAGAAGGGCAAGCGTTCTTCAGTTTCATGACTAGTGCCTCCAAGCCCTGCTCCTCATCCTCACTCAGCCCATGGGGCCGTCTGTGATGGCACTGGGTGGCACCTCTGCCCTCAGAAGAGACACAGGGTCTGGCTCATGGCTTGTCTCCGTGGGGCTGATCTCCAGATGTGCAGCTGTGATGAGGCCTTGTGTATTCAAGGCTGAGCTGGGGAGACCCCTCCAATCACACAGCTCTCTGCAGACACAATGTCACCAATTTCTTGTCTTTTCACAGGAAAGTATTAAAGACATTACCACCTGACCTGACTTACAGGATGGGCAGAATCTTGACAGGTTTCAGGTTTGGGGACATGTCCCTGGTCACTGATCACCCGTGTTAGAGGGCCAGCTGGGAGTATCCCGCGTTCATGTCCATCTCCCTAGCAGCGAGGACTCTGGAGCTGGGTGGGATGGGTCCTGTCTCCTGAGTGGCATGATTTCCATCCAGTAAGGGTCTGGCTTCTGGGCCAGTGTCTGTTTAAAGGACATGAGAACTTGGCCCTCACAGTCCACTCTGAGGCTAGGATGGACGTTGCAGGCAGAGAGCCTGGCCTGGCACTTGATCAAGTTCACCAGGCAGCCAGGTGTGGGTATGTCATGCCTGAAGGCCGATCCTGGGTAGGTTCATGGAGAATCCCTGCTAGCTCTTCTTTGCTGCAGGCAGCACAGAAGTGTGTGGGGTCCAGCAGGGGCAGGGTGGGCCCTGCAGGCTGGTGCTGGCTTCAGACAGGATGGTTGCTCTGGGGGAACATGCCAGCATCCTGGGCTCCATGGTTCACAGAACAGGGATTGAGGAACAGGCTGAAGAGCCCAAAGGCCTTGTCATGATTGCTTGGACAGGTCCCACTCCTCCCCACCCCACTCTCTGTAACCCAGGAACACGAGTAATAAGAAAGACGCGGCTCTGCCCTGGGGAAGCAGACAGGCCTGGGGGACATGTGTCTTCAGGGAACCCTTTTCCACTTCCTAGAGACAGACGGAGCCAAGCTCTGGTGACACAGAGCTGCAGCCTATCATGGTTGGTGTGATAAAGGCTGGGGCTTGGCTCCAGGTCTGGAACAAGGCATGCCACTTCTGTGGGTACACAGAGTTGGGGAATCTAGGGACTGGTAGCATGTCTGCTTCTCTACCAGCTTCCCTGGCCTCAGCTTTCATCTCCTGAGTTCCAAGGAGTCCTTCCAGGAGGGAGGGGCCCCAGAAAAGGACATGCTGAGCCCTGGGTGAGGTTGCTCAGGACACCCCCAAAACCAGGAAGCTGATCTTCCACTCTTCTGCTGCTCTGTATGCATGCATGTGTACACACAAATGTGCACGTAGGTATACACTTCACACCCGTGTACTGCACACACTCGTGTGTGTGCGTGCATGTGTACATGCACACACAGAGCACTTGCACGCATATGGCTGCATGCATATTTGTGTGTACACCTGCACGTGTGTAAAGATGGTCATTGACCGCTAATGGTTCCACTTGGGATTTTTCCACTTTAGGGTGGTGTGAAAGTAGTATGCATTTAGGAGGAATAATACTTTGAATTCTGGATTTTATTCCTTTCCCAGGCTAGCGATGTGTGGCACAATGTTCTCTTGTGATGCTGGGCAGTGGCTCTTAGTTACCAACCAGAGAGGAAGCAGTCCATGCTCCGCGGTGTGCTGTGTGGTCAGCATTTTTGGATACAGATATTAAATAAATTTCATGAGGTGCTCAGGGCTTTATAATGAAACAGGCTGTGTGGTGGGCAGCTTTGTCTAGCTGTAGGCTGGTGTAAGTGCATGCATGTTTACAGCTGGCACGGCTGAGCTGGGATGCTGGGGAGGTTAGTTGTGTTGAATGCATTTTTGAATAATGTTTTCATCTGATGATGGGTTTTTTTTGGGATGTAGCCCCACTGTTGGCTCAGGGCCAGGCTGGACTGGTGTAGGAGATCTCAGCTGGCTGTGCTCTACATGCACGTCTGTAAACTATGAGGTCCAGACGGAGGCTGCCATTTAGTCTGCAACCAGGATCACCAAGTGTATGCTCCCATTGTCCTGTGGGGTTCCTGGCTGTCCTCTCTCCAGGTGGAGAAGCTAAGGCAGGCATGGGGAGCAGCTCATTTCCAGTGTCTGAGCCTGGGGCCCTCCTCTGCCACGGTGCCTGGTGCCCATCCAGGGGTGGAGGGGGAGAGGCACACATACCTAGTGCAGTCCAGCCCTGCCTGAGCCCAATGTGGTTTTCTTACCGTTTGTCTGTTCGTGCTGATGCCTGGTTCATCTCACTATTGGCAATAAAGTTTCTGATTTCAGAGAAATAAGAGTCTTCTTTCTCATCTAAAAGCGCGTGGTTGTCTGACTCAGAGGTGGGGGAGGAGACGCTGGTGCCCAGGTGGTTTGTGAGGACCCCGGTGTGCTGGCTCACTGTGGAGAGGGTTGTTGTCAGGAGCACCCTCAGGTGAACCTGCCCCCTGCCCCCCATCATACCAGCACCCACTCATGCTCTCTGGGAACCATTTCTTAGGGACCCGAGAGTGGTTTGAGGGCTGAAGCCACTCATAGTTTCTTCCCTGCCAGGTCCCATCCCCTTTCACTTTTCCTTGTCCCCTAGTTCCTCACCCCTTCCCCCTGCTCCTCCATGCTCCCACTTGTCCTCCCACTTTTCCCTCCAGCTGTTCCCACCTGCGTCCCCACCTATCCCCCTGCCTATTCCCCTATCCATCCCCCACCCACCCACCCACCTGGCGCGCCCTCATGCTCGTGCTTCTTCAGGTGTCTGTCCAGGTTGGTCTGCTGTCCAAAGCAGCGGTTGCACAGGTGGCACTTGAAGGGCTTCTCCTTGTTGTGGATGTTCCTCACGTGCCGCTGGAGGTTGGAGGAGATGCTGAAGGACCGATCACAGTATTTGCACCTGGAAGACAGGTGTGCTTTGCTCAGGGGTGGTGAGAGGAGCTGAGGGCAGTGGGAGGGGCTGGGCCTTTGCCCCCACAGCAGTCATGTCCATCAAGGAGTCCTGGAAGCTGCGGGACCACCTGGCTGGAGAGCCTGAGGTGACCTGGGGAAGCTGTACTTAGAGACAACCACAGCCTGAAGAAGCAAGTACTGTCTGTATAAGCCCCCAGCAGGCCAAGGACCCCCCGGCCCCAGGTCTCCACCCTCTTATCCACGCCTGGCAGGTCTACAGCTCTCGGTGACATGCCTCTGGCAGCCTCAAGAGGGCGGCCTTGCACCACAGAAAGATGCTTGGCAGGTTCTCCCTTGGAGAGCAGAGGGTACCTGTGCCTGCAACCCTGTTCTCCAGCACAGGAAGCCCTGGCCCTGGCCCCCTCTGTGTAGCGGGGGGGGGGTGTCTTTGGGCAGGCCCCATCTCACTTGGGCCTCATCGTGACAATCCTTTAATGCTCTTAGGAGTCTTGAAGGTGAGGTAGAGGTTCTTTGGTCTCACATCTGTGAGGCTGAGCATAACTCATGGGGACTCCATTCAGGCATTGTCAGCTCCTGTGTGCATGGGTAGGCAGGACCTCACCAGCCTGCACCAAGCACCTGGAAAATCAGAAAAGATGCCACCCCACCTCTCATCTGAGTTCATCAGCAGAAGGTACTTTACTGTGACAGGATCGTAATATGAACACAAAAGGACACCTGCTGTGTGACTGTTCTTCCCCTCCATCCCCGCCCCCCCAACTTCCCCAGTCAGGTACGGGGCCCTTCTGCTGAGCACCACCTCGGTGATCCCCAAGTCAGGTAACAGAGGCCTGTTCTTCTCCATTGCACGGTGGAGCCTGAGCAGCGCACACATTGCACAACAAGAAACTCAAGTCCGAAACAAAGAGAGTGAGCAGGTTTGCACAGAAAGGGAATGATTTAAGAAGGTACCTTTGTAGCTCTGCAGGCACACGTGAGCTGCCTTGGGAAAGAGCGGCCTCCGTGTTGTGGGGAGTCTGAGGTCAGGGGATGATGGCTGACTGAGAAGTCTACCTTGAGGCCTGGACACCCTGCCAGAACCAACACCCGAGGTTTTATCACACATGAGTGCGTTATGCAGCATGTGTGCCCAGGAACAACTCCTCTGTGCTTGCACGTGAGCACACTCGTGTGCACCTGCAATCAGGACTCCCCCAGGGAGGCTCACCAGAATCTCAGGGGCCCATCGGCACATGAGGTTGTGTGTGTAAGCATGTATTTTCATATTTGAGAAACAAGCTGTACCACATCCACAGTGCAATGCATGGGAGGTCCTGGACCACAGGCCAGGGCTGGCTGTAACTTTCAAGAGCCAGGGCTTGTGCCAACAGCCTCAGTAGGGTCAAGGATGGGGGGCTTACATTCACCCCAAGTGGGTGTGGCTGTTCTAAACACGGCAGCCTTGTATTCCTACTAGGCAAGGCCCCACCCCAGCCCGATTTGGTGTTGGTGGCTCCACCATAGCATATTGGTCACCAGCTTTTGTCACATGGATGGGGACGTGCCTGAGGTAACTCGGGACACAGCTAGGAGGGCTGTTGGAGAGTGGCCTTCACAGTGTTGTGCTGCCCAGCAAAGATGGGCCAAGTCCAGTGACTGACAGAAGCCTAGCTTAGGTCTCTGCCCAGGGAATCTGCTGGGCCTGCTCACATACTGGGCCTCAGCCTGGCACCCTGGAGCAGAGCCTTTGGCTGCAGGGCTGTGAGCCTGTCCTTGAACTCTCAGAGCCTGCAAGTCTCCTAGTTCCCAAGTTGCCTGATAAAACCTAGGAAGTTTGAATGGGTCCTCCAGAGAACAGGAGGTGACCCCTAGAGAGAGGCTCGCTCTTGCCTAAGTCCTTCTTCCAGGCCCAGTCACTGCAGTCTGTCTGTCCCCATCCCCCCACTCCTGTGGTGTTCTTTGGGCTCCCTCATTAAGTCCTGCAGCCTCTAGCCTTGCCTGAGACCAGGCTTCCCCTGGCTTTTCCTGCACAGATGGGCAAACAGCCATTCTTGACCTGTGAATTGCCTCTGAGGGCCCCTCAGTCCAGGCCCAGGCCTTAGCCAAGGCTTGAGCCTGCTCAGTGCTGGCCAGAGATGCTCAGGTGCCTCCTCCGTGTGGTCTCCATACAACAGTCCAGAAAGAAGGAATTTGACATCCCCCACATCACCTCAAATACAGATACTCCAATGAAGTCAGGTTTCTAGCCTTTCTGCTCTTTTGGGGTGATCACTCAGGGAGGGAGAACTTGATTTGCAACTGTAGAGCAAAGTCAAGGTCAAGTTATCCCAGCCAGGTCTGGATAGTCACTTGACCAAAAACAGGATGCTTCCTAAAGCAGTTTGAGAGCCCTTGGGTGGCTAACATAGGCTGGCCTATCTGTCTGTCAGTCTGCAGTGAGTTCACATTCCTGGTTCTTTACAATTCCACCAACGGTTCCTGCACAGAAACCATTAGTTTTGAGTTTGCAATGGCAACTCGAGTAAGAAGTGAGATTGGAAAGGGAGCACTATCAGAGGAGTGGGAGCTGTGCATAGCCCTGGGGCTGGGAGGGGCTGTGTGTCCTGTCTAGTTGCAAGTCCTCCATGTGGCCTTTCCTGGTTTTAATCTAAATAAATGGCCCAGGCAGAGACATCTATTTAAAATTTAGGGGAGCAGTGAGCACAGTGCTGGGAGGGAGCAGAGTTCGCTCAGCAGCTGGGCTCTATGCTGTGAATAAGCTGACAGGCAGCTGGGGAAATTTACAGCCACACTGTATAAAGTAACACACCACTGAGCTCACAGGAATGAGAGAGCACGGGCAGCCCGGCTTTGCCGGGGCCTTGCTGTGACTGTGCCCATGGCAGCTCCAAGGAAGCCAGGGATGCTCTAGACAGGGCAGGGTAAAACCAGATCCCTGGGCAATAGCACAGGTCTTCCCTGGGACCCAGAGGGGCTACCACCAGTTTTCATGGAGGAGACTGCCTTTGGTCATTTTTAAAAGCTAGGGAAGAAAAAGAAAGAAGATATTTTTAAAACCCAGTCCTAAAAACAAACAAACAAAAGACAACAAAGAAAGCACGGAAGAACCACCTGTATCCCCTGATGGAGATATAACTTGGCTTGCTTAATACAGGATGGAGGATAGGAGCCCAGGAGCCAATGAAGGACACACAGTTGCACACTGGAACTCTGCATCCCCAAAGTGGGATTCACAGGACCCTAGAGGAGCCCCAGTCAACCCACAAAGGCTCCCATCCAGGTGCATCACAGGCTCCACCAGGCAGCAGGCAGGAGGGACCCCAGAACAGCTGGAAGGAAGGATGCCTGGGCACAGCTCCCTTACTCCCCATACAGCATTTATGTGTCTCCAGTACAAATCCTGCCAAGCCTACAGGCTGGGGTTAACTACACTCTGGTCTCCACTTTCATATACAGATTTCAAGGGGAAGCTGGGAGCTAATGATTGCTCTGCAGCTGGGATGGGTGAGAGGGTGGCCTTCCCTCTGGGAATAGCAGAGTCACACCCATGTTAGGGCCCTGAAATGAATGATTTTTGATAGTTTGAGACAAAGTCTTTTTTAAAGGAAGGAGACCTCAATGTCTTTTGGGTTGATTATCCAATCACTGCAAGCAATGCATGAAAAGCCCCATGTCACCCTGCTGTGAGGCCTGGCTTCTACAGGGCACACACAGTCACGTGTTCTCATGTGCCCAAGCACATGTATGTAGGTGCTGCCACTGAGGCGAGGCCCACACTTGGGCAGGTGGGGGCAGGGGTGGAGTGCATGTTGGTGGGCATGTGTCCTGCACCATAGGCTTCTGGGATGGGCTGTACGTTTTCCTTTTCTGACTTAAAATCTTTGTGATTATCAAAGCAAGACCAGAAGCCAGCAGCAGTACCAAGGGGAAGCAGCCTTCCCCAATCCGCTCGGCACAGGCCTGCCTTGAGCCAGATAAAGTCAGGATTTGCAACACAAACTTGCAAAGCAATTATTGTTACCAAAGTCAAAACTCACAGATTGGAGAGAGCAAAAGAAATCAATGATAATTAAATTCTTCTATAAACACGGCCAGACCCTCTGGGGGCTCTTAGCACGCCACACTGTCCAGAAGTCGGCTCTCATTACAGAAAAAACACACAGCTCGTTTTCTGGGAGGGGACCAGACCAAATAAATCTTTCTGTTGTTAGCCTTTGTTAAGTTGTAAGTCACTATTTTTGGAGGGTGGATGGGGGGAGGGGGAGCTGTGTGTTGGGGAGGGCTGGGGGCACAGGACATGTAACTGGTAAGAAATGTCGGCCAGCACAGACTTAGGCCTGTGACCCCAGGGATGCTCAGTTTACCTGAGTGTGGCTTGGGGACCAAAACACATGCATGCCCAAGTGGCCTTTCCGCCCTCTCCCCCCAGGGATGGGCACACAGACGGCGTCCCCAGGGCCTGTATTATCATGTGGTCACTTCCTGGTGACCCCCTGCTCTGCATGGTTGCCACAGTACAGTAATCCAATGTCGTCAACCTAAAACCAAGCCAAACTCTCCCCAAAGCCTTGCCTGACCAGACACACCCCAGAACATGTTACTAAACTGGTCCTGGCAGAGAAAGGCCACTTCCATGTTTGTCTCAGGGTGACATCGCCTGAGCTCTGTTTGAAAGGCCCACTCCCTGACCAAGCATGCTGGGCAGAGCTCTCTCTCTTTCTCTCTCTCTCTCTAACTCAGTGTCTCGTGCTTGCTAGGCAAAGATGAAGCTCCTCATCTTTGAAGTGAAGCGGGGATGGCTAGACTCACTGGAGGCTATTGTGACCCCCAAATTGAATGGTTCTCACACCCCAAGATGCTTTGTGATCTCCAGGAGATCAGATGCACGGCTTCCTATTCAGGGCTGCCACAGGTCCCAGAGCAAATCCCTCAGGGAACCCCAAGCCTGGGATGGGGACCCACATTTGCTCAGAGATTCCACTGACCTTCTACCCATTCCCTGGTCCACCACAGGGGAAGGGGCAGCTATGGCCATTGTGAGAGAAGTGGAGATGGGCTGGGGGAGGGTTAAGCGAAGGTCTCCATATAGACTCCCTCTGGGCCCCTGGCTGCAGGTGAACTCTGACCTTGGGACACTGTCCCCCTCCCCCCACCAGCATCTTCCTCCTTTGTGAGCATGGCAGGAGCCTTCCAAAACTTCCCACCTCATCCTTATAATGTCTTAGCAGGACAGTGATAGGGCCAGGAGGAGGGGCCTGTACAGTGACCAGACCCCAAGTTTCAACAAAAGCACTCCAGCTCCTGTCTACTGCTCTTCCAAGTGGTCTTGGCCTTGAAGAGGGGTTGGGGTATCAGGATAGGGGTGCTTGCTCAGAGAAAGGGAGCTGACAGTGCATTGAAACAGGTGGCCCAAGTCACTGGGAGCCTAGCTCCCCCCTTCGCTCTGCCTCCCTGCACCAGGCTGGTTCATACCTGTACGGCTGTTCCCCAGTGTGTGTCCTCAGGTGTCTGGTAAGATTTGCTGATCTGGGGAAGATCTTGCCACAGTACCTGGGGTGGAGAAAGGAGGGAGTGAGGGAGGTGTTAGGCAATCCACATTGCCCCTTCCCAGCATGGAGGGCTGGCACCTGGACACAGGACCTAGTTTTCAATCTTGTCTGGGCCCTGAGCCCAGCCTTGGTCTTACAGAAAAGTTCAGTGTGGTCACAACGCAGATAGACAAGGCCAGGCCCTCCCAGCAGCAGCTCAGACCCTCAGTGTGCAGGGAACAGAGTGACCGGGACTGGCTTGGACAAGCACCAGCTGGCAAGATAGCAGGGAGGGTGTGCTTATAGTACCCTTCCCCTGAGAGCTGTGGTTACACTGACCCCTCCTTCCCTGCTTTCTCATGTCTGGGCTCTTGGACTCAGGTTGGGTCAAGGTTACATTTCAAGCTCATGTGAACCCAGTTTGGTACGTGGTGTGGGAAGCCCACCCACATCACTTATGCACAGAGGATGCTCTCAAGCAGGTGACAAAATAATTAAGGTCACTTGTTTCCCCATGACTGACACTAACCCTGGCCCTAAGCCTGGAAGTACAGACCCATAGCTGCAGGAATGTACTGTGTCCCCTTCTTGCCAGCACCCTAGGGACACAAGGGTTCTCACCTGCACGTGTATCGCTCCTTGCCCTTCCTGAGGATGGGGTCTGAGAGTGTCGGGGGCGGGGAGCGGAAGTTGAAGGGGTGGTGGGGCAGGGGCTGAAGGGAGCTGCCCGAGTCGGCTTTCATGGCTGCAAAGCTCTCCAGCTTCTCTGTCATGGTTTCAATGGCTGACACCTGCTGGCACAGACAGGGTAGAAGTTAGGGGAATCCAGGACATGGCAGAGCCATTGTCCTCAGGGCAAGAACCACCCTCATAGGCACCCCAGGTCCCCTTCACAGGCACCCCAGGTCCTTTATGGCTAATTGCATCAGTGGGCCTCAGGTGGCCTACTGGAACCAGAGGTCTCAGGTGTCTTCCAGCTTCTTGCAGCCAGCCTTGCTCTGTCCTTCTTGGATGCCAGGCTACATATACAGTCCAGGGTCTAGCCTGAGGAACGGGAACTGGCCTTTCACAAATTAGCCTTGACTGTTAATGCTTGAGATTACCTGGCCTCTTACTTTGATCGAGACCAGGAATGACCATCTGGCCAGTATCCCTAGTTGACTAGTTTGAGATAGTTTTTGTTTTGTTTTTGAGTCTTGAAAAATTAAGATAGCTCCCTGAATCTCCGTTTAAAACACAGATCATGGGCTGGAGGAACCACTGCCACCTAATGACAGCATGACATAACTGCAGGCAAAGTATTAAAGAATTCAATGGTCCTTACAGGCTGGATCCCAGGAAAAATCTATTCCAAACAATAACGCCAAATGTGACAAGACACAGTACAAAACGAGATGCCTCTGCTTTCCAGAGATGCCAAGGGCTTGCTTGAGGAGAAGGGTGGCATGGAGTAGTCATTTCTACCTGGTAGGCAGAGTTGCTATCACCCCCCAGAATGTACCAGCCCCACTGAGACTTCAGGCAGTGACAGGAGAGGGCAGGGGACGGTGGAGCCACTCAGGTCTCAGTGCTGCTTCTCCCAGCTCTACCTTGGGCACTGCAGGAAGTGCAGTAGTGTTCCAAAGGTCAGAGGGGCTCAGAGTCGTTCAGGTTTATAAGGGAACACAGGGAGCAGACACTGGGGTCCTGGAAGGAGCTGCTCAGCCCTGACAGGCAGCCTGCCGGGTCTGCCCCCCTCCCCCAGCAGGCACATCACACACCTCTGCCTAACAACTATCTCCAGGAGCGGGTTCCACAGGGGAGACCACAGGGAAGGGTCTGGTGAGGGTGGACAAGAGCGGGCAGGAGTAGTGGGTGCAGACAGTGCTGGAGAAAGGAAGACAGCTCATGACTCTCAAGGTCCTGTGACCACTGGGAGAGACCCAGGTGAGTGCTCTGCAGCTCACGCGTAAGAAGGAGCATGGGTGAATGGAGAGAGCAGATAGGGTGGCCTTGCCCAGGGTCCCCATTCATGGATAGCTGTCTCTGGGGAGTGTTTAGTGACAGCCCTTTGCACAAGAAACTTGCTCTTTCATGGCAGAACGTGGGCCCCAGCTGCCGGTCCACAGGTGAATAAAGCCATTGGCCACTGAGTCCCTTAGCTCCTTGTCCAAGTGCCCAGTGTATCTTCGTGGGCCCTGCTCACTGGGCACTTACTCAGGGCATGGCTTGAAGGAGACAGGGACCAAAGCTACTTGGAGGCTACCTGCTCCAGTGGCAGAGACATCTGATATTTGGGGAACGACCAACTGGATACAATAAAAACGCCTACTCAACCCACAATGGAGGGCCTCCCCTTGGGCCTGGCTGCTACCTTGGCCCCTGGCCGGCTTTGCTCAGGCCATAGGGAATCAGGCTTTGCCCCATGGATGTGGTGCTGGCACTTGGACCTCACCAGGACACAGGATGCTCCTAGCCCATGCCGGCTGGTGGACAGATGGAAACAGCCTTGCTCTCTCGGCCACCATCCAGCCCTTCCCCATTCCTTCTGCAGCCCAGATGATGAGTTCCTAGGGTGAAGCTGGCACAAAGACTGCTATCCACTTGCCTGTGAGTCTCAGAGGCAGCCTAGGAACATAGACTTCCCAGAACCCCAGGGCTTGTGGGGGACTATGCCTGGCAGGACCACCCCATCCTGCACCTGGAGGGCAGAAAGGTCCAGCAACAGTGCTGCCTGGCAACACCTGGCATGGGCCAATGTCTCTGTACAAGAATGACCTCAATGCTTTATAGAGACCAGTAGTTATCAGGTGTTTTCTGCCAGAATGACAGTCCAACCTCAGATCATTTAATTTGGTAACTTATTAGTCATTTGTCCCCTGCCCCTTCCTCCTGGCTCTGGGCCACAGGGGGTGGCAGGCCCATGGGAGGACTGGACAGGATAGACAATGGGTAGCCAGACTCCTGCTGGTCCTCTCTTCCTCAGGCCAGGGTGGGTCCAGCCTGCTCCACCCGATCAGATATCCCTGCTGAGCTCCGGGCACAAACACAAACACAGGATGTGCCTGGCTGGCTTGTCGGCTCTCTCCAGCCCATCCAAGGAAAATCAGGGGAAGTTATTAACCAAACTCCTGGGCCCAGCGGAACAATAGGAGGCACTAAGTTTAGCTGTGAACGCAGCCAGGGTGCAGGTTTCACAGACGGGGGCTCATCCAGGCGGGAAGTGTCAAGGAGAACAATGCCCCATGCAGGCCTGGGGACCCTTGGGTTGGGTGAGGGAGTCCCAGCAGCAGAGGTCTGTGACTCTGAGGAGGGGACTGGGTCCCACACCATGAGGATGGGTGGACACAGTTGCAGGGCATCTAGGAGACTCTGTCTACACTGTGTCCAGCTCCTGGGTAGACACAGCATGGCGAGCAGGCAGGAGCACCTGCAGGCTGGTAGGGTCTGTGACCCACATCCAGACCTTGGGGCTTCCAGGGGTCCCTTTTTCGGACCTGCCTCTGCTCCCTCCCCTTCCAGGGCTCCCTCCTACCCACTCTTCTTGCAGGCCTATCCCTGTCTTTTCATTTAAATACGCTCAGATGTTGCCTACCCTAGCAAGACCAGCTATTTCGTGCAGCCTTAGCTGCACCAAATCTGTTCCCTACATTCAAGATTCCAGGCTTCACCCCAGCTCTGCCACCCCATCATTGAGTTGGTTCCTCTTTTGGAGACCGGAGTCAGAGGCAGTGTGCACCTGAGTGCACGGTTTCTATGGGTAAAGGCCCCTGGTGAGACCCAGGGTTTGCCCCATGAGGTCCTCCAAACCCCATCACTTCCAGCCTCATAGCGAGGCATGGGGTCCATAGGGAGGGATTCCCTTTGCGGCTGAGGAATGTGAAAGCTGAGGCACAGAGTCACCCCATGAGGGGTCCCCAGGCAGACCCTATCCAGTCACGGGAAAGACTCTTACCTGGGGGTGGAAGAGCAGTGGGGACGGCCGCAGGTACTTCTCCTTGAGCACTCCCATGGGGTCTGCCACTTTCCGCTTTTCTACCCTGCTGGACGGCAACACAGAGGGTTACGTACCCCATCCAGCTCTCCGCCCCTTGGGTGCATGGCTGTGCCCAGGGGCATCAAGAGCTGCCACATGGGGCCTTGCCAGGCTGCCCTGTCTCCTCCCACTGACTCTTCCATGGGCCTGGGGGACTTGGAGGCCAGGAACACCTGCTCACCCGCCTGGACCCTCACAGCCCACACCTGCTCCAATACTCACTCACGGTTCCCTCACACAGTCTCCATAACTTTCAAGATCTCCTGGTGCCCCTCCCCACCCACAAACACCTACAGCTCCCAAGCACATCGAGAACACTCAGTACAGAAGTCTAGAATAGTCTCTGAAGGCTTCATGTGCACCAGCCTCCTGCCCATGGGCCAGTCAGTCCTGTGTGGGTGTGGACTGCCTAGTCTGGGTCCCCACTCACCACAGGTCCATATGGATCACCCCAGAGGACTGATGCTTACACCCCGACCTCTCTGTCCCTTGGTATGAGGCACTCTGCTTGGTTTGTGTTGATAAATGTGGGTGACAGGCAGGTTTCTCTCCTGGGGAAGTCACTAAGGACGCCCCATGGCAGTCACGTGGGCTTGGCCCTCAAACCCTCCACAGCTGCTGGAGATTGCTAAGACCTTCCCCGAGAGCTGGTGCAACTCTGTCAAATAAACCTCCTGGTGACCACTGGCCCCTCCTTTACCTGGAGGGTTCCCAGAGGAGGGCTGGTCTTCTCTTCCCTGCCTCAGGTCCCAGTGGTGGCTGAGGTCTGTGAGCTGTGAATCTCTTGAACGTTGTGGGCGTTTTGGTCAAACCTACCTCTACCCGCCATACCCTCGCTGAATATACCCAAGACAAGCTGCTCTCACTTACTCACTCAGGTCTTCCATGGGCCCTGGCTGGCCTCACCTTGCCCAGCTCTGTCAAGTACAGACTTTGCTTCCCACCCTCCAGGGGACCAAAGCAAGACAGACAATGCATGAGTCTGGGCAGTGGGGTGGCTCAGTGCCCCGTTGAGGAAACGACGGCTCTGCCTCAGTGAACTCAGATGCCTCTGTTTTTTGTCACTCAGCGTCCCCCCCAAGCTGGGCTTCCTGAGTGACCAGAAGCTAGCAGACCCCTACTAACTGCTGTAGACATGGTGCTTTGCCCCATACTCAGGTCGTTACTGTGGTGTAAGCAGCCCATTCTGACAGATGCATCAGTACCCAAGGGAGGGAGTTCAGAGGGCTGGAGAGGGCCAGGGAGGGCATTTTAGTTCTTCTGGCCAGGAGATGGAGAACTGGGAGTCACCCACCAGGGGATGCCAGGGAGATGGCTGGGAGTTTTGCTGGAGTCTCCCTGGGATCAGGGAGCAGCAGGGGTCATGATGCTGAGGGGATCCTTTCCCCAAACCCAGCATGTTCCAATCTTCTGTGTCTTCACCTGGAGGGGAACACTCAGAACCCATGTGTCTGTCCACCTTGATTCGACTGGGGGCAGCTTGGGGAGGACCCACATGTCTTTGAACCTGCTTGTAAAGGCCTGTCCTGGCACCCCTCCAGTGTCCTAGTTCCCAAGGACAAGAACTCAGACCTGCATGGCCTCAGAGGAGCCCTGGGAAGGATGTGTGAGTCTGTGGAGGGCCCCTCTGGAACTTTCGGGCCTGTTCCCAGGGTTCCCACCTCTCACCACGACTGTGGGCTGCCTGCAGCTTCCAGAAAAGGCACCAAGCCCAAAATCAGAGGGGCTAGAGCGAGGAAGATGTTTGGAGGATAAAGGGTGTGTCTGGGACAGAAAGAGAGAGAGACCAAGAGGAGGTTCAGGCAGACAGTCCTGCAGGCCCGCTGGCTCTAGCCCTGGGGTCCGACCGGAAGGATCTATCTTCTCTGAATTTCTCCCTGGGTTCTGTACATATCCACTGGGGATAGCTGGTGCCTCTTCTCTCCTGTCCCAGTGGTTTCTGGGATGGGGGGGGTGGTGTTTCTGAGACCTTTACTTTAACTGGCAAGTGTTTTCTCAATTTTTTTGCACCGCCTTCAACCCTGGAAGCCAGAAGTGCAGTGACTCCACAGAGGAAAGTCTGCCCCTCTTGCTAAGCCTCTAGCTCACTTCCTCACACTGTCTGTGGGTGGCATATTTTCCAATAAACACCCAAATGGGTATCTTTTGTGTTTTCCAGGATGATGTTGATGTCAGGATCAGGCAGAAAACAGGAGCTGACTGCAGACAGGCTGGTGGGGGCTGTGGAGCCAGGGCTCTCAGTGGACGTCCCTGGGTGTCAGCTCTCAGGCCTGCTTCCTTCTGACAGAATTTCCTCTCATTTTTATTTTCCAAAATCCTCAAACACACCTCTCTCAGAGTTGTGGGCCTGTCCCCCGTCCTCGTACTGTGGCCAGCACCACGGGGATGGCAGGGCCTACCTGCTCCCTGCACCTCAGAGCATGCATGCACAGGTGTGTGCATGTCCTCACTTGCAGATCAGGGCTGATGTCCTGCTGCTCAGGGTCTCCTGCTCTGTGGGGATAGGACACCTCCCATGGAACCTGGCCCTGCTCTCCCAGCCCACTTGCCCCCTAGAGTGGGACCCTATTCCTAAATCCAAGGTGGGACTCAATTCACCCTGTCAGACAGACAAGACCCTGACGTCTCACAGACCCTTTCGAACTCTTCCCAGTCTTCTGCCTCATCCCCTCCAGTGGATACCAGGGGGTACCAGGTGTTCCCCCGTCCCATTGTAGCCACAGGGGTGGGGGTAGGTACACAAGGGCTGCCTCAAGGAAGTAGAGTTGAAGGGAGATGGATAAAGTGCTCAGAGGCAGGGTAGGATCCTCTGACCTTTGTGGGAGGCAGGGATTTGGCCCAGAAAAGGCAGCTGGACATGGTGAGGAGGGGGGGGATGTCTCTGGACAGGAGTCTGAAGGCTGGGAATCAGGAGGGGCTAATGACAGAGCAGAGCATATCTGAGATGTAGTCTGTGCAAGGGAACCAAATAGGTCCAGGAGACCCCATTCAGCCTGCCAAACTAGGCTCCCACCCATGGAATGATGAAGCCAGATGTCTCCCACAAGGGGTATGGACGCACAGTGGGTATGGACCCACTCCCCTCCAGCTGAGGCACCTCCCTAAGGCCAGCAAAGGTGGAGGGAAGAACCTTGAGGCTAGGGAAAACAATGAGAGAGAGAGAGACAGACAGACAGAGACCCTCCTCACACTAGACCAGCGCTGATCCCGCCCAGCTCCCGCACCTTGGTGGGCCCCATGGTGGGAGCAGGGAAGGATGGAACATGTTAATACCTGTAGATGGGGTCCATGAAGAAGGGTGAGGGCTTGGCATAGTGCAGGGAAGGCTGCTGGGGCAGCTGTGCTGGGCACACCTTGGGCAGCCCCTCGCCAATCCCTGGCTTCCGCTCGCCGTACACGTGGTTCTTCCGGGGTTCCCGGCCACCTCCATTTTGACTGGCACGGACCCTGCTGCCTATGCTTAGGTCCAGTGGCTGCTCCTCACCAGACGTGGGGACCGAGGGTGCCTTGGGGACCGAGGGCGCCTTGGGTGTAGGCAGGACAGGCTTTGCCTCTTTTGGTTTGGTGGTGAGGTCGAAGGGGCACTCAGCACTGGGGCCGCCCACCTTAAGGGCGTCCCGGGGTGACTTTGGCTCGGCCTTGACCAGCAGGCTGTGGGTGAGGGCTCGGTCCGTGAAGGGGTAGAGGGAGTGGGGGAAGTTGGGCAAGAACTGGAAGGGGAACACCGAGTGGTAGGGCAGCGAGCCCAGCTTTTTTTCTTGCATGCCCATGAAGCCTGGACCAAAGTACTTCTCGGCGATGGAGGCAATGGCTTTGATGGAGTCCCCGGCGGCACCTGAGGCGGTCAGCAGCTGCTCCTCGGGTGGTGGGAAGAATGAGTGTTGGGAATAGAAGACAGGCACCTCGGCCATGCTGTTCACCGCCCCTGGAGGTGCCGAGCCGCTCCCAAACTCAGGCTTGGCCTCGGCCTGCTTGCCCTTGTCTTTGACTTTGTCTCGATCACTGTCTACATCGCTGTCCAGGTCTGAGCCTGTCCCTGTGGTGGTGTCCAGGTCGGTCCCTGTCGTGGTGTTGATGTCCTCAAGGTCGCTGCCATCAGACATGTCGAGGCTCCTGGTCTTGACCTTTTCTGCATATGTGACCTCCAAGCAGTTCTCAAACTTCTCCTCGGGCCCCGTGGCCACTGTGGTGCCCTGGCTGCTGTTGCTGACCGCGGAGATGAGGGGCAGGGCTGGGTTCCCGAGGGGGCTGGGGAGTTTGGCGTCCTGGGTGTGGTTCAGGGGGCTCTTGAGCAGTGGTGTGGGAGGTAGCAGAGGTGGCCGGGGGTACAAGGATGGAGGGAAGATGCCCGGGAAGCCAGGAGTGAGCGTGGGGAAGGCCGGGGGAGCTGCAGAGAAGGGCAGGCTCCCAGGGTGCGGCCTGGAGGGGAAGTACTCACTGAAGCCCAGGCCCCTGTGGTTGAGGGTGGGGGAGGGTTTTGTCTTGTCCATCATGGGGCTGGGGGTCAAGGGCAGGCCTGGGGCAAAGACGCCCCCGGCCGTGTAATGGTTCTTGCCCTCGCAGAAGCGCCGGTGTTTGTTGAGGGAGGAGGTGGTGCTAAACATCTGCCCACAGTCCTTGCACTTGATCTGCGTGCGGCAGTCGGCGTGCATCCGCTTGTGTCGGCACAGGTTGGAGAACTGCGTGTAGGACTTGTGGCAGACCTCACCTAAAGCATCAGCAGAAAGCAAAGACAAACACGGTATGAAATTACCAGGAAACCCCGGGCCTCAAGGGGTGGGACCGGGGGTCTGGAAGCAGTCCCTGCGGGCGTATGTGCATGTGTGCACGCATTGCACGTGCGCACCTCAGCTATGCGCACGACATCCGTATGCCCGTGTGTCCGTGTACACGTGTGATCGAAAGTGTAAGTGTATTCTGCAGAGCGGATTGTGTGTGCATACACAGGTGCATGCATAAACATGTATTCCTGTGTATGCACAGGTGTCCCAACCTGGGCTGGCCTCCAGTGACCAGCCTGAACTGGCAAAGACCCTCGTGCCTTTCCCTGGGGTCTCTGGCCCCGGCAGATGGGATCCCGTAGTGCCTGCGGTGGGAAGAGGGGAGGGGAATGTTACTGCCGTTTGCTGCTCAGGCCCTGCTGTCGCTGCTGTGTGTTGCTGGTGCTGGAGATGCTCTTTGGAAACCACTGGGGAGAGAGCCTGCTCCCTGGGCTGGGCGAGGGCAAAGCAGCTTTTCTGAGAAGTGGCTATGAGAAGACCGCATGCCTCTGTGCTCTCAAACCCTCCCCTCTTTTTCCCTCCTTTCCTCTCTTTTTCTCTCTCCTCTGTTACACGTGTGCACACACACACATGCACCCCTCCCAAGCATACTTGAGCTCCCTGGTGGGACAGATGTCACCTCAGTCTCTGTGGTCAGCAAGGTGAGGATCTGGGGACTTGTAGGTGTTAGGTGTCCACCGAGGAGTCATCCAGTGGCTGGACATGGAGTTTGTATGTAGTTAGTGCCTGCCCCCTAGGACCCTGGCCACTCAGAGCTCTCCTAGTGACCCATTCCCTCCTTGGAAGGGCCACATTACCTGGGGTCCCCTAGCTGCCTTGTAGTTTCCTTTCCAACTGCCTACAGCCCTTCAAGGTACTCAAAGGACATAGTTCCATGGTCTGTGGATGTACCTGGCTGCACTTCTGACATCTCACCTGATCTCACAAACATTTGTGTTACCTCAACTGAATGATGTACTCATTCAGTACATTTTGAAAAGCCATTTTGGGGGCTTTTCTTTTTGGACAAAAGCCAGGGTGTAAAGGTGAGCCTGGAGCACAGATAAGGGGGAGGAACATGGCGACACCGGGCAGCTGGCTGGACATCCCTGTCCTCTGTCCACCATGTGGGGGCTTTTGCAGCACAGTGGAAACAGTGGGTTAGGACTGTTAATACAATCTAACAGAACTTTATAAAGCGTCTGCTTGTCTAAAAAGGCGATGACTCTGCATGCAGTTTTGTTATGTTTAGACTGCTTTATGATTGTAAGCTGTCAAGCAGTGTGCTGACACAGGTTCTTCTTAGAGCAGACATCCCTGGGCTCCACAGCTGGGCAGCAGAGATGGTGGTCACCACTGCAGTCATGACTCGGGGCCTTCCAGCTTGTCTAGTCCTGCTCTGCCCCTTCTAGCCCTTCCCACAGGGAATGGATACTTCCCAGACAGTGTGACAAAGCCAGTCACACTGGCTCAGATGCCCCCTTTCTGGGGTCTGTGGTGAGCCAGCAGGCAGGGCTCTTTCTCCTGGTTCCTCAGCTGGGGAAGTGGGAAGCCCAGGAGAGGGTGGGCCTCATTCATCTTGAGTTAGATGCCAGGAGCTTGGACTGGGGGTTAGAAGTGGGAGGGTATGGACTACCTAGTTAGAGCTGGCTTTTTGGGGCAGGTGGCTACAGCCAGAATGATTCCCACATGGCAAGAACACCCTGACCTTAGGTCACCAGCAACCAGTCACTCCTCCCCTCACTGATCGAAGGGCTTGGGGTTGCCCTGCCCAGTTCAGGGTCAGGAGCTAGGTCCCAAAGCTGGGATCTGGCCCTCAGGATGGCCTGTGTGTCTTGGTTTCCTTCTGTGAGTTAGAGAGAGAAGGGTCCTGGTCTTTAGGAGTTTGCAAGGATGTCACATAGTGAGGACAAAATCAAATGATGTGTTGGCACGAGGCGTGTGTACACTGTGATTTGATCTTATGGTTTACACCGTAAATGTGCCCCAAAGGCTGATGTATTGAAGGCTTGGCTGCCAGCCTGTGGAGGTGGTAGGACTTTTAGGAGCTGGGGCCTAGTGGGAGGAAGTGATGTCACTGAGAATGTGGTCTTGAAGGGGATCTGGGAACCCTGGCTTCTTTCTTTTTTCTCTTTCTGCTTCCTGGCTGCCACAATATGCTGTCTCCTCTGTCAGCATGAGGTGCTGCCTCACCACAGGCCCTAAAGCAACAGGGCCAAGTGACCATGGACTGAAAATGTGAGCCAAAATGAACCTTTCCTCCGTAGATGGTTTATCTTGTCATAGGATGGGAAGCCGATAGAGACTCTCATCACGACACTCACACACAGGAACATTCAGTGGCCTCTGATATCACTGAGAATCAGGGTCAAAGTCCCTATGTGTACCCACAAGGCCCCAGGAGCTGGCTGCAGTGGCCTCTGGTCCCTCTCACCTTACCCCCAATCCTGGGCCTCCTCTGCAGGTTCCCAGGGTGTGCTGTCCTTCAGGGCCCTGCAGGGTGCCTCACATTACATATCCAGGAGCAGTACCCACTCCAGCACCAACCTGGCCCTCCCTGAGACTCTAACCCTGTACTGCTGTCCCCAGGGGTCATGCCTATCACCTTGTTTAGCGATGTCTGTCTCCTTCCACCTGTGTGTAGGCCCCACAAGGATAGGGGCTGCTTGTTCACAGCTGGTCCCAGTCACTTGGAACAGTGCTGGGCACACTCAAGGGTCCCTAGAAGACACTACTCAGTAGGGACTGTCACACACAGAACTCCTGCTGGAGCTCAGCTAGGGTGGGTGCAAGTCCAGGGGACAGAAGGATGACACTGTGAGGGAGGGATGCTGGCTCTTCTGTAGGACCTTGGATTGTTAAGACTGGTCCTTACCTACTTCCTACCTCCAGCCACTTCAAGGAAGTGCAAAGGGGGAGATGAGAGAAGGAAGCGGGGGCTGCGTGAGCGAGAGATGCATTCATAAGCTCAGAGGATGCCAGCAAGCAACACAACATGGCACAGGGAAGGCTGGGTGGCTCCAGGGTCATACGCTGTGCCTCACTGTGAGGATTTTCTGAATGCAAAGTGGTCTCCTGAATGGAGGTGTGGAGGCGATCACACCCTGGCGGACCGCAGGGGGTACGGCGCAGGCTGGGGCAACTCACATATGAAAGGCTTCACCGTGCTGTGGATGTGTTTGTGTTGCTTCAGGCCGGAGGATGTGGCGAAGGTCTTGCCGCAGTCAGGGCAGGCATGGGCTCGGGCACCGACGTGCTGTGAGCGGATATGCCGCTGCAGGTTGCTGGGGTCCGTGAACACCTGGGGAGGTGGACTCCATTGGCCAGTGTACCACCTGAACACACCCTGTCAACCCCAGGGCAGGAACGCCAGGCCCTGCCCCCTTCCTAATTGCCCTTTCTGCTCTGAGCTGGCTAGGACAGTCTCCCTGAAGCAGTGACCCATTGTGGGTCCCTGGCCTTGGGGGCTTCATCCCTGCTAGCCAATACCTTCCACATTGGAAGACACAAGCTGCCCTGGAGAGGTACCAGGTTCCGGTCTTGGTCTTGTTCCTTCTGAGCTGCGGGGTATAATCTCTAAGACTTCCTGCTCCCCTCTCCCCCTGTCTCCCAGAAATTCAGAAGGACCCTGGTGACCTCTGGGCAGCTAACTCTGCCATAGCCCCCTCCACTTGCATCTCTACAGTAGGGTGAAGGGAAGGTGGGACCTGCCTGTCTGCAGGGGCAGGTGTGTGCTCGGCAGGGCAGGTGCACGGTACCTTCACACAGTTTTCACATTCGAAGCGTTTGCCACTGTCGTGGGATAGCTGATGACGGATGAGGTTGGACTTCCAGTTGAAGGCCTTGGGGCACTGGTCACACTTGTACTCTCGCTCCTCCGTGTGGACGATCATGTGTTGCTCCAAGCTGTACACAGGGGGAGGGGCTTACTCTTGGGCCCCAATCCCACATGGTTTGTTCTCCTCTCAGTGGCCCCCGGAGCCCCCACCAAACTGCAGGGAGTGGCAGGGCGGGGGACAAACAGCATGCTGGCAGCAAGTCCAGCCACCTCCTCTCCAGGTGGCCACTGGGGATGAGGGCCACAGACAGCCTGCCTATGTCAGATGAAGAAGCTGGTACCTGGATGGTCCTTCATCCAAGACCGCCTTTCAGCCAGCTGGAGGTAGGGTGGGACCCCAGCCCCATGCCCTGGTTGTCCCTCTAGACCATCCCAACTTTGAGGCTAAGCTTGGGCCAAGAAACAAAAAGGTGTCTAGGAGCGTCAACACTGCCACAAGTCCCAAAGTGGGGTTGAGGCTGAGAAACCTAGGGCCACCCCTCTGACTGGCCTTGGGATGTTCACTGGGCTAGCTAGGTACACCTGAGCAGGTGGCCAAGAGTGGGGGGCCAGGGTGTCCAAATGAGATGAGATGTGGTGGGGACAGCAGCTGTTCTGAGGGGCTGCTCCTCTCGGCTGAACGGGCAGCTTCTAATCTCCTCTCGGGGGACCCCTGCCTCTCCTGTCCCTGGGATGACCGTTAATCTTCATGAGCAAAGCAGTAATATATCACAGCCCGTTAATTACGGGGCCCAGCCATCCATTTAGATCAGGAACGCCGGCTCCCCCAGCACTGAGAGGTTGTATCTTTTCCCTGTTGTTAATTGTGATTTATGTGTTTATGTAAAGAAAACACGGACTCTCTTTACCACACTCACTGAGACGGGCCCAGTCGGGATTTGCCCAACACTTATTTTCTCAGTCATCTGTTCAGGGTGGAGGGTCTGCCATCTCCAGGGAGCCCATGACGGAATTGGCAGTAAATCCTCGGTAATCACACAGCCAGTGAGTGGCCTGATGGGGCTCTGCTCTGACTTTGCAAGGCTGTCCTGAAGAAATGTTCCCCCACAAGGGGCGCCCCAGCTGGAAAGCTTCCTTGGCTCCCTGGAGCACTTAGGCTGGAGGTCCTGGCTTCTCTCACAGAGCCCAGCTCACCCAGCTTTCCCAGGGTTCATGTGGGTCCCCAAGACCCCCGCCCCCCAGCCCCTGGGTCCTGATTTCTGCCTGGCCTCGGGGTAGGGGAGGGCCAGTTGGGCCTGTTCCAGTTATTGGTGTCTGGTTGTCATTCAGCCGGCCTGGTACTCTCTGTGCCTATGTCTCTGATATCCCTCTTGGACAAATGGCCTCCTTAGGGGAGAAGAGCCCAGGGTTTAGTGGATGAGTGGTCCTTGGGCTATCCTTTGCGGGCCACTAACTGAGAAGGAGTTGTGTGTGTCCAGAAGGTGAGGCTGCCCCATGAGCCTCTCAGGAGGTGACAGTGGCCCTTGCACGTGGGCCTGGGGATTTATTCTAAGAGAAGTGATGGGGCTGGCTGGATCTTGGCAGGTCTCAGGCAGGACTGGCCTTTCTGTTTACCTCTTGGTTTAGGGATAGTGGGGCCTCCAAGTCAGGCATGGGCAGGTCTTCCTGGGTCTGAGCCCTTTGCAGCAAGAGCGAGGGAACACCAATATATCTGACTTCAGCTATGTGTTTGCTATGCCCCCCAGTGCTGGACAAGTGGGCTGGGGGATGTGTTCTTGGTGTGTTGGGGGACAAGGGGGTGCACTCGGGGGCCCTAGGTCTCAGTCTGTCTCTGGAGCCCCAGCCTGACAGGGTGATGGGCTAAGGAACAGGGAGGGGTGCTGCTGGTTCTGGAGGAAAGGCAAGGGCGGCACCTGTACTTGTTGGGGAACATCCGCTCGCAGTCCTTGCACTCGTGAGCCTGCCCGTCACTGCCGCCACTGCCAAGGCCATCCGGCTTGAGCTCCTCCCCCAGGCCCTCATAGAGTGTGGCCCCTGTCGAGCCGCACGCGTACTTCTTGTGGCGACGCAGGTCTAGTTTGCACTGGAAGAGCTCGTCACACTCATCACAGCGGAACGTGGGTTCCTCTGCAAGACAGAGGACAGGGAGGTGGGCAAGCAAGCTAGGGACCCACCCGTGGGACCACGGGGACCTCAGGAAACCCACCATCATCACTGCCCTAGGGCCCGTGCCCAAGTGGAGATCCTGGCCTGCAGTCCTCATCCTGCACCCAGGGATGTGGAGGCCACAGGGACAGACCCCTGGCAATGCTGGAGGACCCAATCGACACATCAGTGGGAACACTGAGCACACCAGGCCCTCTCCCTGCCTCTCAGGCAGCCACTGGGGGCTCAAGGAGGCCCTGCCTGGGGAGTGAAGGAAGCCAGGCCAAGTGCTTTGTTTAGGACTTAGGAGACAAAACAGGACAGAGCTCCAACGCGGATAATAAATTATTGTCGTCAAGGTCAAACAAATTAAAAGAGGGGCAGCTATTATTAAGTTTATGAGGCAGCAGCCTGACCATGGTGCCAAGCCAAACAGTCAGTCGGAGCTGTGACTCAGGGAGGGGGTTTGGGCTTATTCCCACCTCCCCTTCTGCAGCTGCCTGAACAGCAGCTTCCACCTAGGGGGGCGTCTCCCACCACAAGAGGACCTATGTTCTACCCAGGCCTGGAGACAAAACACCTGCTCTTGAAGAAAGAATTGAACAATGCATCTGTGTGCACACGGTCACGTGCATAGATGTGTGCATGTGTGTAAGCTGCGCAGGGGTACACGGCTGTGTGGGGAAGCGTGTGCACGTGCAGTTGTGTTTGTGAGTGCGCACATTCCAGCACGTCTGCACCATGTTTGAGAAGCTGCATGTGTATGTGTGAGCATGCCTGTGCACTTGCACCCAGGTGTGTGTGCACATGTAGTCGTGTGCGCGTGTGTGTGAACATGAAGACACGTGCTTCTGTACATGACTGTGTGCGTGAACATTTGCACTGGCATATTTTCATACTTGCGCACACTTGTTTTTTGTATGTGCACGGTGCAAGTGTGCCTGCATGTTTGAGCACTCGTGTATCTTTTTGTGTGTTCATGTGTGCGTTTACTTTGCACATGTGTATGCATTTCTGTCAGTTGTTATGCATGTGTGTTTGTGAGCATGGGCGATGATGTGCTTTGTGTGTTGTGTGTGCATGTGTTTTAGTGCATGTGTGAATGTGGGTGCATGTGTTTGTTGGTGTGGCCATTGTGTGTGCGCAAGTGTACATTTGTGACACTGTGCGTGCAGTTGTGTGGTGTGAATGTGTGTGTACATGTTTGTGTGTGAATTCTTGTGTGATGGGCTTGTATTTGTGTGCTAACGTGAATGACGGTGTGTGAATGTGACTGCAGGTGACCGTGTGTATGTGACATTGTGAGCATGTGTGGGTGTGTGGCTGGGTGTAAGCACAAGCAGAGCTTTAATCAGCCAGAGCTGGATGTTGGCTATAACGGCCTAAATGTAAGGGGTGCGGAAGCAGGCAGGCAGGGAACCGGGGGACAGATGGAAGAAGGGAGTCACCTGTTGCTTCCCAAGTCAGAGAGACCAAATAACCACAAACCCTTTCAGAGTCCTCAAGAGAGGCAGAGACGCTTTTCAGCCTGGACAGCTTGAGGGTTACAAGGGGTGTGTCCCTGCTTTATCACCGATCAGCTGCCACCAGGGAGACTGAGTCACTTGCCCAGGGAAGGGGCAGAGCCCTGTGGCTGGAGCCTCTCTACTGTTGGGGCCTGGGGCACAGGGTGATGGGACCCAGTTTCCCACGGAGGGTTCTGAGAAAAACAGCACGACCCTGCAAGAGTTTGGCAGGTGCTCACTGTAACCCCTGGCATCCTCCCCTGTTATCAGAGATCCAGATTTTCACCAGGGAAGAAGCCTTATGTCTGAGTGCCAGGCACATGTCCCCATCTTGGTCCCCCAGAGCTGTCCCTGTGTGCTGAAAGGAGCTGAGGTGGGGCCTCCTGCAATGTCAGGTGCAAGTTGGAAATGTGGTGCTCTTTCTGGGCTCAACGAAGAATAATCGTAGAAGCTGAGATTTAAAAACAAAGACCACTGACCAACAAATGTTTCCCATTCTGATTTGGAATTTGTATCTAAAATTAAAATTCTGGAGTTTAAAATGAAGAAATGAAGAGTCAGCCTGATTGTCTGGGGGTGTCTGAGGAGACCCTGCAGGCACCAGAACCCACTTTGGTGACAAGTGTTGCTCTCCTCCTCCTCTGCTGCCATCACTCTTAGACTCTGGTTTGTCTCTTTAGAAGGACAGAGTAGGGCCCAGGGGACAGGGGACAGGACGGGTCTAAGCCTTGCCCAACCATGAGATGGGCCTTTTAGCTTCTTCCAGGCAAAGAAGGCTGACCTTGAGTCCACACCTGGGACCTGCTACAAGTCACTTTTATTTTCCCAACACATGAAATTGTGTTTTAAAGAATTATCACAAGGATATGCTATATCCTGACATTATATCCGGTTATAACTCAGCATATCATATCTCTCTTTCATGTGATCTGCATCCTCTTGACCTTTTTTGGAGAGCAGAAATAAATTATTACGCGCCTTTCTAAACAAAAAAGTGTATTTGAATGCAAATGACTTCTTTATTTTCTCCCAAGAGCAAGAAGTTCTCTCAAAGAGAGTTCTCCCCACCTCCATCGCAAGAGTCAAAACAAAATATTTCTCAGTCACCTGACTGAGGAATCTGAACTCAGATTCCTCCTCCGTCCTTCTGGCTACCTGTGTGGACAGCAGGTTGGCATTTCTTTATAGTCCTGAAGGGAGAATGGGTGCAGCTCTAGAACAGTGGGCAGTATGACCCATCGCAAGTGAACAAGCACCTCCGTTTCCTCCTTCCTCCCCAAAACACAGAAACAGCGGCTGGAAACAGAACTTTTCACCTCAATGTGGTGGGGGTTGCAGGCCGGGGCAGAGGTCTGCTGCGTACCTGAACCACGCTGCACTAACGCTGGCAGCCTGTGTCTTGCCTGTCAACCCTGCACCTCGCTCATCTAGCTCAAGTTCCATCAGCAACTGCTACAGCCAAGCAGGAAGGGAACAGAAAAATAAATCAGTGCTAATGGCTTTTGAGACCGAGGGGTTCACAATTATGCAGCATCCACACACTAATCTGTAACTCCAGCCTCAAAGGCGCTCAAGAGCCTACTCCAAATTCCTGCAGTGATAAGGGGCCCGCTGCATTTAGCCGGGGCTGGGATAAAAGATTTCTTTTTATGATAATTATCTTAGTGAGGAACGTTTTTGCATTTTTCTTTCTGCGTTTTCTGAGTTTAACTGGGGTTGGGGGAGGTGGCTGTTGGGGAGGCAAAGGAGAGAGCTTGACAGCAGAGGCTAGGAAAAGTCAAATATTTGATGTCGGACTATTGTGTGTAGAAAGCAATTAGCCCACAAATGTGTGATCAATTATTAGGAAAATGTAGACCCGTGTTATTTGGTATTGAGGGTGGGAGGCGGGTGGGGAATAGGAATTAAGGGCTTTTTTTTTTTTTTAAACCTTTTGGAAGGAAGAAATTTCATTATTCAAACGACATTCCACAGTGGAGCACTCTCCTTAAGTAGACTTCTCTTCTGAAGTTCTCATGTGCTGTCTAAGATTCACAGGTCTTTTTCAACAATTATTTTAAGGAAAATGAGACCTTCCTTTTGCTACACTGATCTCGGCAATTTATTTTCTTTTCTCGATGGCCTCATTAAAACCAAACTTTAGGGGAGAATACAGAGAGGACCCAGATGGTAAAATTGTTCTTCTGCGGTGTTTCCCTTTCCACCAACTCAGGGATGTGGAGTGCTGCTGAAAAAAAGAGAGACTCCTATTGCTCGGCTACGTGTGGGGCTGAAAGGGGAAACTAAGGCAGAGTTCCCTGGGTCTGGTCTCAAAACCTTCTTGTTAAATCCAGAGCCAAGCCCCCTGGCTGGTGGGTGCCTCTCCTTCACCGAGGAATTAAGAGTGCTCCTTGGAGAACCTTGGTGTTGATGGTATTAATCATTAAGCCTAGGTGTGTTTGCAGGGGAGGGGACGGGAAACAGGAGGGGAGCTCGAACCATCTCCCTTCTCATTAGGGTGGAAACAGCTGGAAGGAGAGTACTTTTCTGTTCTCTGGTGGGGTCTCATCCAATGAAAAGCAGTTAGTGAACCCTGGAGCCACCTACTCAGCACTGACATTCAAGGGACTGCAGGGCCTGTCCTCTGTGACCAACAGTCTTCCTCAAAGCCACCGTTCCAGGACCCTGAGTGCACAGACGCTGCTTAACACCATGAAGGACTAGCATCAGTGTGTACGTCAGAGCCTAGAGCCTGTGTGAGGCTGGCTTTTCCTCAAGCATTGCCTCAGAGATGCTTGGGTATGGAGGGACACACGGGGGAAGGTACTGTCACATCCTAATGACCAGTACTGACAGACAAACAAGAGAGAAGGAAATTCAGAGAATATCTGCAGCCCTGCTGAAAGAGCCTAAAAACACTGCAGCCTACTCTGGGCCCCAACCCAACCCTAAATTTGCCCCTCCCCCAATAAAATACCCCCTAACATTCCTCTTGGACTTTTAGCTACTGGTGGACATCAATTTTAAAGATGTCTATGCTGCCATCCTCTCTTTCACGTGACACTGAAACTTCTCATGGTGGAGAGCTTGGGTTCCTAGGCTTATAAGCTACCAAACTGGCTTTGGGTCTTTTTTTTTTTTTTTTTAGTACTAGGGAAAGTATAATTTCAGCAAAGGTATAATTCGGTATGATTCTAATTTACCCATGTTGTCTGAAGCCCTCCTTAAATTCAGGATGCAGCAGCTCTGAGGCCCAGGAAAGGAGAGAGGGGCTGTAGGATTGAGATCAGAAGGTGCTTTGCCTGCTGGCCTGAGGTCTGCAGAAACTCAGGGAATGGTCCTGCCACATGACAAGAAGCAATGACACACCCTGCCCCACCTGCACTGGGGTGGGGTTCCCGGGCTGCTGCGGGGTCTTACCATCCAGGCTGGGTGGCACTGCACCCAGGGAGTAGGCACCCTCCTTCACGTGCACCAACAGCTCCTCACCCGGCTCGATGTCCTTAATGACTTTATAATAAACCTGGGATGAAGAGACCAAAGAGGACAGATCAGCACTGGTGCTGTGTGTTGTCATCTGCAGAGCCACCTAGTGGTCACTCTGCCCTGCACGCCGCCAATACTGCTTGTCAGGGAGGCTGCCGTGGGCCACCTGATCAGGCTTCTAATTACTGCTAAGAGGGTCCCCGTGAGAACTTTGCAGCTTATGTTCGAAAGGAATCAAGTCTCTTTTAATTTATTTCATCCTGTTCTGGGATTTAAGGATGCAAACTTAAATACGTGAACTTCCAGGTGGGGGTCGGCACCAGAGCAACTCACTGTCCATCTGGAGTGGAACCTGAGTCCGTTTTTAATATGAAAATGTGACTATAAGCAAAATACCTTGGCCTGGGGTGGAGGGAATTAGGGGTGCAGAGTGCATTTGGTTGCTAATGAAAGTGATTGTGAGCTGGGCACAGGCCTGATGGGCTGAGGACACTGGGCTGAGATTTCCACATGAGTGTGGCAGCCATGAACCAGGAAGGCTGGGGGTGAGGAGTGAGTGCCTGTCATGAGCTTGGTGCCCAGCAGGTGGCAGGGGGTTGAAGATGGTGACACCCCTGAGAACCCAGTGAGGGACTCCGGGTAGGTTCTGCAGGCTGAGGATGTCTAAACCAGCAGCACCAGTCTGAATCATGTCAGCTACAGCTTGCCCTCATGTGTCCTGAAAAGAGTCATCTGTGGAGGCCAAGATGCAGAAAGCTAAGGGAGGCCAGGCCATCAGAACACTGTGGGTGCCGGGTGACTGTGATTGGGATGAACTGGGTCTTCCTTGACTCTGCCAGACCCTGCCTTGAAAACACCAGGGATACAAGTCCTCTGAGTGGGGTCCAGGACTCCCACAAGCACAGCTGACTCAGGAAAGCTTGCATCTGTAGTCTGGAAGTGACTGACATTTGAGTGTGTTTCTCTCGGGGAAATCCACAACCTCCCTGTAGCATGTGGGTGTTTAGGACACAATTCTGATAACAGGGACCGAGGAGCTTCTGGCCTGCATCCTGATCAGAGTACTGGCCAGGGCAGAGAGGCCTCAGAGAAATCCACCTGCCCCTGGGAGGCCTGGTGCCGAGACTCCTCCAGCTGTCTAAAGTTGTCCCTCTTCACTGTCCTCATGGAGGACGGGGCCAAAGACAAGAGGGGACCAGTGGACGGAGGAATGTTCTCCAAGTAAACAGGGCTGGTCATCATGCAGGCAGGGAGGGGTTTCCAGGGACTGTGGGGGAGGTGTGGTCTTTGCCATGAGTGACGCTTCTGTCCCTATTTGCTGGCCAGTATTGGTCCAGGCTCAATGGCAGCTGGCTCTGGCTGAGAGCTGTGGCTGTATGTGGTCAGGCCTGCAGAGACTGAACTGAGCCTAGTCAGTGGCTTGCCTTCCAGGCTGCACCCGCCCTCCCCACAGTTACAGGCAATTAACTCCAGAGTGACACCAGTGAGTTCCAAAGGACACATACAGAAGTGGTGCTGTGTCCCCAGTGCCCACTGGCTCTCATTCCCAGGACACCAGACTGGAACTGCACACAGTAGAAAGCCGGCAGGTGTGCACACATCAGTGTGTGACGTTCCTTCACGGTGCCGTCAGTAATAATTATTTTATTTTGCAGTTATTCTATGGTAGGAGGTTTAAAATGGAGACTTAAAAAAGGGACCACATTTTCTCTAATGAAACCAACTGTTATTAAGATCCCAGTTTTGCATCACCATATCTTAAAAAAAAATTCACACAGTGGCTGAGTAGTTTCTTAAAAAAAAAATCAGACTTGAGCCACCTTATTTCAGAATCAGATTCACTCACAGTGCGGGATGCCAAAAAGCAAGTCAGTGCGGGAGGCCACGCCAGTACCGGCTCAGCCGAAGGGCGGGTGTCAGGAGCCCTTAATAAGCACAAGCCCCCAGCAAGCGAGCGTATACAGCAAGTGCATGCTTAGTGCCTCAGCCTCAGCGGCCTGGGCCCGGGCACAGGGGTTAGGGGAGCGGAGGGTCGGGGCTAGGAGGCCGCTCCCGGGGTCCGGGGTCCGGGATCCGGGTCAGAGTCGCCACGGGCCTCTCCCCTCTGCGATCGCCGGGGCGCGCGAGGACGGGCTCCGGGGCGCGCGAGGACGGGCTCCGGGGCACCGGCTCCGGCTCCCGTGTCCTCCTGTTGCCCTGCTGCTGGGTCCCCCTTCCCGGACGCCGCCGAACTCCCGGGACCCCCCCGCCCCCCAACACACACACACACACACACACACACCGCATGCCTCTCCCCCAACTCATCAAGGCTGCGGGAACCCTGGCACACCCAACTCCCTTCCGCGAGCCCCACCAAGCACCTGGGAACCCACCCCTCACCGCCTCCCCACCAAAATAAAATCCCTGCTGCCGGGGCCTCCCCCGACCCGACTCTGGCCTTCGGCGCTGCCCAGACCCCCAGCCCTGGGACCCCACACCCCCACACCTCTGCTCCCAGGCTCACCGGGCCTGCCGGGACCCCCATTCCGGCTCCGAGGACGGGAGCCTCCCGGGGGACCCTCCCGGCCCGCGTGGACATTGTAGCGCGCTGGGCCGCGGGCGCCCCCTCCTCCGCCCGGGACCCACAGAACCTCCGCCTGGGCGCCTGGCGGGGGCGGGCGGGGGACACCAGGCGGCGGGCTGGGCAGCTGCGGCCGCAGGGACTTTGAGCCTCGGGACGGAATTAGTCGCTATTAGCGCTAATCGCGGAGCCAAGGGCGGGGCCGGGGTGCCCCCGACCTGCCTCCACCTGGAGGGGGTACCGAGGCGAACAGGAAGGACGCAAACTTTTCCAAAGTCGCCGACTCTGCCCTTGCCTGCGGGCGCGGAGGTGCACGGAGAGCTGTCCGCGTTTTTGTTTTTTTTAATGACCAGTTCCAAATGGCACGAAAGGCCTTATCAGTCAGGCGCGCAGTGAAAGCCACCATTTCTGGTCCGCGGGGCCCAGGTGACTTCCTGGGACAAGGGCCGGCTTCGGTGGGAAGGGAACCCCCGCCGATGGAGGACGGAGGAGGTCTGGGTGTCTTTTGACTTCTAGGGTGGGCGTTAAAAATTGCCATTTACAGCACTGCGCCAGGCCCCTTCAGTGCAGGACTCGTAATAAATAATTGAGACCCCTTAAAAGTTTTTGCAGTCGGTTTATTGTGTGGCCCTCGGTCCTTGGTGCTGAGACCTGTGGATGGATAGCCAATCATGGATAGGCTGTGGCAGAGTTTTCACCCACGCGAAGGAGAAAGTTTATTTAAGGAAAAAGTAACCCGGGAGTCTGATATCTTTCAGCCCCCAACAGCGGCTTCAGGGGAGGGTGGCCTGCAGGAAAGGAAGCAGAATGTGTCTTTGTTCCCTGTTGCAGACCTGCAGCGCTGCACGGTTTTAGTCATGTGTGAGTCGTCAGGCTGCAGGACTGCAGACCTGCAGTCTCCTTGTCTTGTAAGGATCCGAGGGTGGGACCCTCTTACCAACAGCTGAGCTTACAGCCCAATAAATGTCTGTTCTAAACAGCCCTAAAAAATAATGATGGCAAACAGACAGGGCCTGAAGTTGAGCTTCTGTTTCCTCCCTTCTGCCGACAAGGGCTTTTATTGAACTTGGGAGAACGCCACTGAACACAGGTCCTTGGAGTTGTAACTGTACTTAGGGTGACCCAGACTATTTTCTTCCCCTTTTATCACTTTCCAGACACAAAGAGGTGGCTCCTTGGAGGCAAATGGAGCTCTCACCCAAAGGCAGATAATTGCTTGAAGAAGGTTGGGTTTAGGGCAGGACAAGTTATAGCCACTGAGCCTTTTATAAAAACGAATATCACTACTCCCAGCCACATTCTGGAAGACAAAGAGATAACTTGCGATGGCTGTCAGCTTTTGGATACTGTCTCCTTCTGAAGCGTGTTGAAGATACTGCTTTCAGATATGAAGACTTAAGTGTCACAATTTTCATTTATCTAGAATTTTAATATTTATATAATGAAAAATTCCATCTAGCTTCCGCCGGGGGCGGGGGGCCGGGGTGGGGGGGAGCGGGGGTAGAAATGAGTTGCTTGCAGGTTCATGGTCAGTGAATTGAATACAGGGCAGCAGCCACCACAGTCTCTTCTCTGGAATGAAATGGTTCTTTGTATCCATCACGTGAACTGCTGGGCAATTTTATTCTTCCTCTTCGTTGACCAGTATAAAAAATTTTAAAGAAAGGTAGGAATAAAATAGGTGAAATGTCTTTCCCTGGGCTTGTTTTAAAAAAAGAAAAAGCCATTTCTCATCATCCCGGACTTCGGAATTCACCTGGCTTGAATTGATGAAGGCTCTGGTGTGGTTCTCTCACAAAGATGGGCACATGGCGAGCAGAAGTCAGATTCCTCTAAAATCTTTGTTGAAAAGCAAATTTACCCGGTAACCCTCTTGTCCTACTGACAGAATTTGGATCCTAAGGTCATTCCTGGGTATTCTAGTGAATCTCTTGGGACCTCTGAAGACATTTGGTAGGTCCCAGTGCTGTTTCTTGGCTTCAGGGACTTTGGAAGTCTGACCCATATATCCTAACTGCTTGCTGTCCTGAAATCGTAAGCCGGCTCCCTCTGGGAAAGGGCTGTGGACACCCAGAACCCTGAGGCCATTGGAGCATTTGGTGTTTAAAAGGCAACTTTCAAAAATGCTCCACGATCCAGCAGGCGCAGCATTTGCAGCTGTTGTGAAGCGGGCAGGGGGCTTCCTTCCTCTTTCCCTGAGTGCAGGACTTCCCTCCAGGGCTTTCCTCTGGCCTGTTTTGGTTGCTTGCTTTTTCAGAACTGGATAGGAGCAGGGGACAGCCATTCTGGGCTCATTCTGGCAGGCTCAGGGACATGCAGACACCTCCTTCCTCTAGCTCAGGGAGGAAAAGGCTCGTCGGTGTTCCTGGGATTTGTTACATTTGTCTCTTCCCATGTATTATTGAAGCAGTTTTATTTTGTGCCTAAATCTTTATTATTTTGTTGCTATATATTCTGCCACCTTCCCAGCAGCTCAA